GACCAATAGCAATTCTCTCCTCTTATAAATCCTGTGTCCTTTGTAGCTCTGACAACAGGAACGTTATGGCATTAAATGTACTGTAGGAGCTGCTGATATCTGAGAGGAGATAGAGACGGTTTTTTCCAGGTTGGATGTGATTTTTCTTCTGTGATTTTTTCTGGGTTTTGTTTTTTTTAATAACCTCAAGTCTGCCTTGAGTCTAAGGCAAGATTTATGAGTAATTTATATTATTTTTAAATTCTGGAAACTTGCACACCTTGGATGACTTTTCTTCAGAGATATTTGAGTCTCTGAAACTTTTGCACATTACTTTTAAAAAGACACCCATAAAATGCTTACTAATGCTTCTAATATCGTAGTAAAAGTAGTGCTAGGGTTATTTTTTTATACTGCTGACTTTTGAAAGAGTAATTTTGTCTTAATTTACATTTTTGTGTGTAATCTCCTTGTTTTTTCCTCCAAAGAGGCTGGTTGGTAGTCATGATCTGTTGAGCTTTTCCACTAAATCAATTCTCCTGCCAGAGTAGAAAATGCTTCTAGAGGGGCCTTTGCCTGGATGTTGATGTTCCCACTTCATTATACTTCTCTGATCAACATCTATTCTTTGTTTCACACTAATGAAATGCTGCTTCATAAAGTATGTACAATGTTTGTATGGGGAGGGGGGGAAAGATTTTTACTAAAGTCATTTAGCCTCTAGATTTGGGCTGCCTGTTAATACAGAGATATTAAGATATTTTATTAAAGAAATGAGATATTTTAAGATATTTTATTAAAGAGAATTAAGATATTTTATTAAAGAGATGGACGAAAAATTTATCTTACGCAATTTAAAGTATTTTTTTCTGGTTTTAGCCATTCTTCATATGGACTTCTGACTTAAGATATTTTGCTCATGCATCTTTCTGTATTTCCAAAGTAGTATTAGCCTGTATCTGAATATTTTAACACAAAGAAAGTAAGCAATGAAAAATATTAACTCTGGCACAATACAGTGTCTGGGAGCCTTTGATATTGATCTAGCCACAGGAAATTACACAGTTAAAGCAGATGCACTTCAGAAAAAAACAGAGTTGTATTATTTGGAGAATATAACTCAATGCTGTTGCCAGTGACAGTGTAAAATTGTGAGTTATCACCCTGAACACCTTTGTTTCCACTGAAAGAAAAAGAAGAAAGTCTGGAATTGTGGGGGTATTGCAGAATTTTGAGGCTGCTGGATCCTTGTAGAGACTGGGTTGGGCAGTGGAGCTCGTGCCAGTGTCTGTTGGAGAACTCAGGGTTTCAGTATAAATTTATAATTTATACTGAAAAACTAATCCGCAATATGAAATTGAAATTGCATTGCGCTTCTCCCTCACACACCCTTGCTCTGTGCCGCTGTTACAGGGTCACTGCAGAGACAGTGAATGATGGTGCTCTCAAAGGGAGTGCTCCTGACAGTGACCTGCTCTCGCCTTAGCTGCACACAGACAGAGTCATTGTGACTTTCACGCTGTGTCCTTAGGTTGCCGTTGTTGCAGAATTAGATCCTGCCAGAGCGGTGGCTGACACGGTGGCGTCAAAAGCTCGCATGGGCATTGGAGCCAACGAGGAGGTTGAGCTGCAGCAGCCCCTGTTCAGGCTGCACACCTACAGCGAGGAGCAGGTAAGGGGCTGCAGTCGTGCTGGGTAAATGCATCAGGAACTGAACTGGCTGTACTCGTGTTTCAGGGCACTCGGGTTGCTGAGGAGGCTGCTCCCTCAATTTCAAATGAACTCAAGGAACATCTTGGTATCTTTAAATTCCCTCACTCTTCCCTATCTGCTCAGTTGATGTATTTGCAATTATTCCCACTCTGGAATTTCAAAATTATTTATGAAAAGAGAAGAGCTATGGTACAATTCTGCAGTGTAAAAGTTTTCTTTTAACACTGAATAAGATGAAATTCAACATTGTCTACAGCTACAGTTATCCAGCACTGACCATTTTAAGACATTTTAAAGCTTCTCAGTTTGGTAATGGAAAGATGTGGGTTTTGTTTGGTTATTAAAATTCCCCAAATCTGACCAATGTACAAGGTTCTGAGAAAACTTAAAGATGCTTTGAACATGTATATTTGGGTCCTGTGTCTTAATTCTCAGCATGCTCTCTCTGTTTCAGCTCCAGACAGCTTTGGTGCTGCTTGGGCTGCAGTATGTGATGCCCACCCAGCACATCCCCGTGCTCCTTCCTGTGCTGCAGGGGCTGAGGATTATGTTCCCAGCGCTGGTGTCAGCAGCTGTGGGCACTGGGGAGGTGATGCTGGAACTGGAACCAATGTGTCGCTCTTCCTTGTACTTCCAGTGCAGTCCCACTGCACACCATGCAACAGGGATGGGAAAGAGGCTTACAGATTTTGTCAGACAAACTTCTGACAAATTCCAGAAGTAATTTCCCTCAGATTAATTGTTGTTCTGACAAACGGAAGTGGCACTGCCATGGAAGCACAAGGCGGCACTGAGAGAAAAATCATAAAGGCATTTGAAGCACTTGGGTTCTGCAGGAACAGCCAGGAGGAGACTGGAGTCTGTGCTGCACTTGGGGCTGTGTGCATGGAGAACACGGGGAAAGGCAGCAGCTCCTCAGGGAGCTTTTTGGCTTCTATTGATCGTTGCTGTGGTTTTTTGAACAGGTCATTTCTGACCCCAGGGTCCGTGTGGAGCTCGCTCTCCGAGAAGCTGGACTGCATAAAACACTTTATGCGAGAGAGGTTTTGTCAAAACTTCCACCACCGAAGCTTCCAAGAAGAGACACGGAATCTACAGCTTTTAAAATGTAGAGCACATCTCATGAGAGGGGCAGAGCAGCACCAGGGCTCTGGTCTGGCCCACGACATGCAAACCCTAAATTCCCTTTGGCTGTCCTAGAACTGCTCAGGTCCCTGACCATGCAGCCATTCTCAAGCACTCGCAGCCTTTCTGAGCTGGGAGCACCACGTTCCACCTGCCCTGTGTGGGTCTGGAGGGGCTGGGCTGCGTGCTGTTCATGGCATTGCCCGTGTCCCTCTGACTGCCAGCGGGGACACCGTGCTCAAGGACTCCTGCACACAGCCCAGGCCAATCTGATGTGCAGCATCTTGAGTAGGAATTACTGGGATTTAATTGGTAGCAGAAGTCCAAAATAGCTTAGCACAGCAGTTACTTTAGATTTTTTTAAGTTACATGAATAAATCCCACAATTTTCTTTCCAGGTTTCTTGAGAATTTGATTTTTTTTAGTTATAAAATCTTCATTGCCATGAATGTTTCTAATATTCCTTGATTATGAGAAGATGAAACTTAAACCTTTGTCTATATTTAGAAGGCAACTTGCTGCATCATATTTACTGCAAACCATTCATTCAATTTCATATTAGTTTTTCAGATTAGTTTTTCAGTATAAATTATAAATAGAGCTGGCATCTTTATTTCTTTATTTTCTGGTGTGACAGACTCCTGAGAGTGAGCACAGGGTCAGCCCGGAAACAGCATAATCCCAGTGTTGCAGCTGAGTTTAATGGGGAAATGCTGCAGAGCCTGCCCTGAGCTAGGGCAGTGATGTCTTCTGGACTGAGCCTTGGTGTGCTTGTGCTAAAATTACAATTCTGTGAATATTTGTGCTTTTTATTTTGGTATCTCCTTTGGGGTAACTCGTTATTTTTAAAACTCACTTGGACACCTCACAGCCGGCTATTCCTGTGGGGATATTCCCTGGATATTCCAGTGGGGAGACCAGCATTGCTCTGCTGTGGGGAACAAACTGGCAGTGAGACAATTCCCAGAAAGGCATCATCCCAAACCTAGGCAGTTGATTTTTTTTTTCCCTTGCCTTTTAAAGCCGATCTACAAGATAAAAAAAAAATTGCACCACTGAATTTGAGATTATAGTTGTTATATTTTATAAATACCGAGATGTTAATGAAAAAGAAAGTTTAAAGGGAACAGATATTGGTTTTTGAAATAGGGGGCACAGATTTTTAGGCTGAGACTTGTGGTTGTTTCCATGTCCGTAATGTCTCAGGGTGGAGACTAAGTAGAAGTCTATAGAAGTCTGGGCTACCTCAGTGCAACGGTAAGTCGGGGCCTTTAGTGATACAGTGAGGCCAGAAGGAGGATTTTTGGGGGGAGTTTCACAAAATAGTGGTGCATGGAGAACATGCAGGGCAGTAAAAGGGTGTTTCACACAGCTGCTCATGCCAGGAGAGCTCTGCAGACCCCTTGGCTGGTCACAAATACGGATTAATTTTCATATTATTTACTTGAGTTTTGTCTTTACTCCTTCCGGGAAGATCGCTGCGGACAGGAGTGACCCTAGCAGGACAGTCCTTTACGGCGGCTGGAGGCAGGAGCGAGGAGTCTGCAGCTCTGTTCCACAGCCTGAGCTTGCTGCCAGCGCA